GGTTCAGCTTCAGCCTCCCAAGTTTGCAGCTGATCCTAACTGAGCATGCTCTTAAACAGTGGTTTTAATGGCATAGTTGAACGCCTGTGGTCTGTGAAATGCATTTGATTATAATTGCATGCTAGGTGACATAACTTGGAACAGATAAAGTGGACTTAAAATTGTAAGGTAGAAGATAGTTTTATGAGAGTAAAACTAAGACGATGACTCTGTCTGCAACAAGCAAGGCTGAATGATGCCTTATGTTTCTTTGGTCACAGGCTACAAACTAGACCTGGTATGATCCTCTGCCAAAGCATGAGGCATAGAGAGAACCAAGAAGAATGCAGAGCAGAAGACAGACCACCCAGAAATTAGGAGCGTGCTAGGTAGGAAGACAGCAGAATGCACAACCGGAGATTGGTTTGGCTTGGATGTGGGTTGGTGGCTTCTTGGTCACCCACGGAAAAATTTCTACTGAGCACTGTCAAATAAACTGCAAAGAAGAGGTATTGCTATGTGTTATAGGAATCTCATTTTCAGTTAAAGAAAGGCTGGCATTTTCTGTAAACATCTGCAGTTTTTTGTAGGTAACAGCAGGTGGCCTCCACTGTAAGGGTTCGGGATAGTGCTAGGAATATTTCAGTGACTGAAAGAGAACTTCCTGTAGCTGGTGACAATATCCATCTGTGTTTGGTGCTCATATCTTCTAGGGTGAACTGAACTAGATTGTGGGGTGGGAAATTAAAAACAAAATTGAAACACTGCGATAAAGGTAAAGCAGGACTTACAGGAACGCATCTTTCCATGACTAAAACCAGAAGTTTGGCTTACTTCCAAATGCAACAAAAAGAGTCAGGCTGAAGTGTAGAGGTCTTGCTTTTCTGGCTCTCTTGCTGGAGAAAATACTGAATCCAATGCTCCTCTGTAGACTTCAGTATAATCTCTGAGTGATGATGCCTAGTCAGTTTAGTCAGAGGGAGATATATAACCTGTGTAGCTTTTGAAAGTTAGTGTGTGTATATATATATACATGAACCCTTAACTATCCAAGTGATCTTATACTTAAAATTGAGTTAAGCTGAAAAATACCTCTAGATAAAAAAGACCAGACGTTCTGGTTTCCTTTCTTTTCCCCAATATTTTTTCCAGATTTCTGCAAATTGTGGAACAGTAACAGAATCATTTTGGTTGGAAAAGACCTTTAAGATCATTGAGTCCAACCGTTAACCTAACACTGCTAAGTCCACCACTAAACCATGTCCCTAAGTACCACATCTACACGTCTTTTAAATACCTCCAGGGATGGTGACTCCACCACTTCCCTAGGCAGACTATTCCGGTGCTTGATGTTCATTTTGGTGAAGAAATTCTTCCTAATATCCAATCTAAACCTGCCCTGGCACAACTTGAGGCCATTTCCTCTTGTCCAATCGCTTGTTACTTGGGAGAAGAGGCCGACCCCCACCGGGCTACTCCCTCCTTTCAGGTCGTTGTAGAGAGCTATCAGGTCTCCCCTCAGCCTCTTCTTCTCCAGGCTAAACAACCCCATTTCCCTCAGCTGCTCCCCATCAGACCCTTCACCAGCTTTATTGTCCTTCTCTGGACTCGCTCGGGCGCCTCAAGGTCTTTCTTGTGGTGCGGGGCC